ACTCGTACAACAGTAGACTTACCGTCTGAGATAGGAGATTTTGTCGATGACTTCAGTATTTTCAACGAGGAATCCATGTTAAACCTGAGGAGTTATCTTATTGCCATGAGCGCAAAAAACAAATACCATCGCACTTGAAATGCACTTTGTTAGCGTTTTTGTCACCGAACTCTCTGATGTGCGAGGGCAGATGGAGATATTTCTGTTGTCCTGACCAGTTTAAGTTAGTCCTACTACTTGCTACTGTTAACTTCTGTTCTGCTGCCCTTTTGCTTCTGTTCCGAATCAAATCAAAACTTTGCACATATACGAATTCTCAACTTCCGTTTCTTTTTTTTGTTACTTTTGTGCGTGAGCTACCCTGCAGCTTTCGTTACAGTCGCTGCACTCAACAGTATTCGTTCTCCATACGATTGCGTTCTCATATCCACCCTTGACATGGACGGGTTGTGCTTGATATTTGCGTTATGTCCATTCGCTCTGGCCTCCTATTTTCTTTTATTTTTAATACTTTATTATACTCCTGATATTGCCGGGACGATATAGGCTGCTCGATCTGCTCAATTAATAGAGGAACCGAGAGGTGCAGTTGTTTGTTCATCGGGGCCATTCAGTAGAATTGACCTCATTTCAGTCTCGGCCTAGACATTTTAACCTGTATACAGTCGGCTCCCACATTTTCTGTACTCGTGCATAACGAAACTATTCTTATTTTCTGCCTATTATTACTTCTCACGGCAAGGTGTGATGTGAAGTGCAACCACTATGATGCTGAGGTATTCGCAAAACTTGGACCTATTCCTGCTCATTTATTCTGCATGACACGTCATCACATCTCCTGTGCTAATCCCAACAGTTCTTGCTTTCAATTCATTTCCTTGCATCCAATATCCACGGTGGTCTTCGAACATTCCGAGTGTTTCGTTTTCTTGTTCAGCAATCGCGAGGTTTTTAAACAGCATACATTTACTTCCATAAAAAACACAATACAATACAACGCTAGCTGACGTTTCGGCAGTACCGCCTTCTTCAGAGCCTGGAAGGGTATGCTGATATACAATCTACTAGGCCAAACGCTTCAATAACACTGACAAAAAGACGAAAGACTCTTTGGTAATTACATGATGAACAACTTCTCGAAAAAACCCACCGCTTTTTCGTGACTTCCAATGAGGAAGTTTAGAACAGCTGATTATAGTCGCATACGGTTGATGACAAGCGTTTGGCCTAGTAGATTGTATATCAGAATACCCTTCCAGGCTCTGAAGAAGGCGATGCTGCCGAAACGTCAGCTAGCGTTGTATTGCATTGTTTTTTTTTTATGGAAGTAAATGTATGCTGTTTAAAAACCTCGCTATTGCTGAACAAGAAAACGACACATTCATATTCCAATGCCGAGGTTAAGAGAAAGTCGATCCTGGGAACTATTTCGAGTGTTGTTTCGTCTGCTGCTTGAGGATTTCGTCTTCGTTATGAATGTCGTAGAGTACTGGTCGAGTCAATTCTCCTTGCAATCTTGAAGATGACCGGGTTAAGGCGCTCTCACGTGGCATGGAACGGAGCATTGGGAGGAGATTGAACCAGAAGCTTACTTCCTGATGGACTGCATCACTAACCACTGCTCTATCGTCGTCCCATAACGAAACTATACATGAAAATCCTCATTCAGTCATTCTTCAGGTGTTTTCAAGTTTCTAGTTGTCTTATTTGGGCATTTCCTGGAATACTTATGATGCTGATACCCTCCCTCACAATTGTCGACGCCGTTTTCAGCATTTCTTGTAACTTCAAATCCAAAAAAGAAGTCAGTTTGTTTGCACTACACATGGATCCAGAATGGTTAGATGCTCCTTCATATATGTGTTACGACTCCAATAATCTTGACACTTCAATTCTTCTAGATATTTTGCAAAATTCATTGATAGGTCAAATCTTTGTGGGGCATAGTTCTGCTCGAAATTTCGAGACAGCCTCGTTGAGGTACTCTCAGTTCTGAGCATTGGTAACCAGCGTTCCTCGTGGACTGGATGGTGTGCAGCCTTGTGACTAGGATTCTTCCCGAATGGCGCCATTGATTCAAGTGACTTCGTATGAATTCGTGAATCACAACAGACCGTCTTCGAGTTCAGTTAGTATGAAGTTTACAAGATCTTAAGTGACATTTTAAGCGCCAAGAGAAGTAGGTGTCTGAATGAAACGAAGTGGCAAAGACTTTCTTCCTCGATTACCTCTACTTTTCACATTTCACAGGAATTCACATGGCAACGTGATCCTCACTTCGCTACTTTTTCATGACTGGCTTGGGATTTCCTGAGGCTACAGTAACTGGACCCAATCTTTAATATTATTGGGCCCGTCATCTGTTCTTAAGACTTCTTTTTTGTCGCTTATGTTTTCCTGTAGATGTTGGTAATGTTCATACATCTTGTTTGCCAACATTACAATTTCCAGACCACCGCCAGATCGGAGCCTTTCGACGTGATTGTTTACCAAGGCAACAGTCATTTTTTATGGAAGCGACTTCACGTCGACGCTTACAGCCGTTCAATCGGTAACTGTTTGTTGTTCATCAAAAACAAAAAGAATTTGTGCTGAAATCAAGGAAAAAAACCACTCCGGTGTTGCACAAAGTTAAATCTGCGTTGTCTTGACCCATTTTCCGTTCAGGTGTTCTCGGATGTTCTATTGTCTCTTTATATTAAATTTTCTTGCAAAAAAAAGAAGATGAGAAGCTCAATGGACTAGGGAAAACGCTCATTCACAATGGCCACTACTGTTTCGGGGCCTGGTATCTGAACACGTAACGGCCCTCTGTTCTACCGTTCTCCCAGCTGGCATGTAATCATGACACCGTAGCATTTGTGCTATATAAAGTGGAAGAAAAGGAAAAAAGAATTCCGAAAATTGTATTCTATCCACCATTCCCTCCCAATGGTTTGCCGCCTCATCGTCGCTGGAAGGTGTTGCTGGGTGTCGGGCTGCGATATACAACAGGGGAATTCATCCCCTGACAGGGTCTCCCAAGCTGATAGGGAGTCCGGCGTTTCCATCGGGAAGCCCAGCTAAGAGTAAACCAATGCCAAATCCATCACCATTCTGGTATCAGGTGAGTGCCCGTGGTGGTGACGACCTGAGGCAGACTTCTAAACCAACAAATCTCCGATGAAATGGGAGTTATGCTGGAGCCCACACAATCAGTGAAGACGGGCCATCCAAGTACACAAGTAGGTAAGTATCCGTCTTTCTATGGTTTATAGGCTCGCAAGTGTTTCTGGATGCCATTATATCATGGTGATAATACTACTGATAAGTTCACCTAGCCTGAGAAAGAATTTCACGTTTTGATTGGGAAGCCTAACTAAAAGCAAATCTATACCAGGAATCATAGCTGTCATGAAGGGAACAATCTCTTTGTAGCAAACCTCCTTTCTAGCTGTAAGGATTGGTCAGTTTGTGTGATGAACAGCGGTGCACCAAATAGGATATCCTGGGAGGAAAAAAAATAAGCGATTCAACCAGTTAAAAGCCGGCCTCACTGCCCCATATACTGGACACTCACGTCTGACTTCAATGGAGATGAACCATTTCATTCATTCCCTTCTATGACTTCGTGGAGGATGAATCATCCCATTTACATTATATATATACCCGTCAGTGTTCATACGGTCAGCAGATTTGATGACTTCACCCAGCCGTCACGATTGAAAGTCACGTATACGAGCTTAACAGTGCTAGATGATAATCGAATCTACTCCATCGCAAATGGAAATACATCTGATCGTACATCATATACGATACATTAAATCGTCTGATTTCCTCCTTATGGCTACGTACGAACTGTCCCGATCCAATAGAAACCACACAAGTTTATCCTATATGAGCTTATTTGTCGAGATGGAGCTAACTATATTCAACTATGAACTAACAGTAGGCGGTCGACGGGCGCCTTGAGGTGCTCCACAGCCGCCTCAATCGATGCCGGTCGTACTCCGTGCCGGAGGTTTCCGGAATACAGACCTGGTGATTGGTTCTGTTCCTGGTAGCAGTCTAGGTAGTCTGTATTCATCATTCATCTGAACATTTTACCTTTCTAACTGGTAGTTGAATAACTTGTCCTTAGAATTAAAGCTCATCTCTTCAAACGACGAGAGAACGGGCAGTTCTGATGGCGCTAGTTCACATCTTCTGGAAGTCATTTTCATATTTATTCATGAGGGACTTCGTCCTTAATACATTTATAAACGTTACTGTCTTTAAAGTGAATCAGATAGGTTTCTCTTTATGTTATTAACCTTTTTTTTGGCCTCTATGTCTTAGCCACGTGAGCGAAATTCTCTTACGACGTTATTTTGTGTTTATATAGATTCATCTTGGAATTTCTCCCATTTTTCATACTGTCATCATTTCATCCATGCCGTATGACAATTCTTTCATCTTCATCTGTGGTTTTCATTTTGTTATTCATCTGTGGTTGTCGTCAGCAAGTGGCCAATATTTCCTTCCATGATCTTCCTTAACCTTGGTTTTCTTCCTAGAAGTTCGGTTATTCTTAGTTTCCTGATTAGTTAGCTCTAAGGTTTCTTAGTTCTCGATATTCTTATTGAGCAAAGACGAGGTGTTACTTCCATGTTTCATATTTTCTTTCTTAGTAGTTCTCAGTACTTCTTAGTTGGTTTTAGTTTATCTTTAACTCCTAAGTTTTCGGTTTTTCAAGATTGTACTTCTATGAGTGCGGTGTTCTGTTCGGTTGTTCAGTAGAGCCACATCGTCAGACCTTCGATCTGCACTCGGTGTGTTGATCGTCAGAGTGTGTGGACACCGTCGTCCCTCTCAGGTGGAATGCCTTCATCTGTTCCATGGTTATTACTAACGTTTCTACCCAGTTTAGTTGAGGTATTATTACACTATCGTCTTTTTTCTTTCACCATCAAATAGATCCCGATTTTGTTATTGTTAAGGCTCGGAGAGCACCTACTGGTTATGCTTCAAGCTATGTGTTTATGACAGTAAAGAACGTCGACACGAAAGAGGAGGTCCGGTTATGCGCGAATTATCTTCAGTTCAAAATCAGACGGATTGCTGCAGATGCCGAAAGCGCGGTTAGGATTCTTTTTTCTATTTTCATTTACTCCTTCTTCCACTCATAATAGCCTATTAAAGCGAATATACTGGACAGATGAGTCATCTTAACTACACTATAAGTTGTCAATTCCTCGATTTTTTTTGTTCACTATGACTTACAGTAGCTATAAAATATTCGGTAGGAGGGTTTTCTTGAGTCAAGAAATGGCACGAGGCACACAAAGTACAAAGCTGCGGAGAAAATGCCAACGAAAAAACGATTCGATTCGTTTCCTCGCATCCATCATCCACGAAGGTCTTCCAACTATTTACGTATTGCTTAGGTTACTGCTTGAAGATTTTTATCCCATTTTAAATGTTGTAGAATACTGATCACGTCTATTCGCCCTGGAGTCTTGAGATATCCGGACTGGATCGTTCCCAATTGGATTGCAGAGAGTGGTTTTTTCCCAGTAAAGTCCGGTACCAATTTCTCGTCCTCAGATGGATGAGAGTGCTTGGTTGGCCCGGAATGGAATCGAACTAGTACCATACTCGGGTCGCCGAAATCACTGCCACTGTGCTATCCGTCCCATATTTTGTAAATAAGTGGATTTAATCCTCAGTTTTACCAGTTTTGTTCTACTTCGGTCTAAGGAGTTAGTAGATTTGCTGATAAATTGATGGATTTTGCTCACCGTCCATTTGCAATGTGTTTATATTGCAATCACACATTGGATTGGAACATATTGATAAAGAGTTCTGTAAAATGTTTAGTCCACATTCGAAATAAAATAACCATCAGAAATATTTTCTACCCAATCGCATCTGAAAGTATCGAAACTTTGACATATCCGTGGTACCTGGAAGTATCCAAACGATGAAAATGGTGAGCGATTGGTTATTTAAATTATTTCGAGCAATGTTAATATCAGCGGCAAAATACTACACATTTACGGTATTTGTTACACAATGTTCCCAAATTTTTGCTGCTTTTGTATTTGAACACCTTTCCGACTTTAAAATGTTTAGAATTGTTATGGCTGCCACCATTTGTATCCGGATAGCTTCCTTCATTCTTGGTCACCTTTTTTATCCGTACTTTTCAGTGCCCTTCATGTCTTTACCCACATTTGGTCACATGCCGATTAAAGATGTTAGGAACATTTTTAGTTCTCTGATGAATATAATTTCACTCCAGCAGCCTGTCGGTTTGTCGTTTTGGCGGAATCATTTCAATGAGACACGGGTCTGCCCTTTACCGTTTGGCGCAGAACAAGCCCTACAATACAATGGCACAGCGGTACCGCTACTATATCGAATTGACGATGATGGTACACCGTGTACTCGGAATTTCACTCACGGTCTATCTGGTTTCCGTAATGCGAGTCAGTTTGAGGTTTGTTAAGTAATTCTTCCATAGGGTCTATCGCTTTGTATCAGATCGTAGCGTGTTGTTCAGATAGTTATTGTTTTAAAATACTATAGAACGATGTTCAAAGGACCTCTCTATCTCTCTCGTACTATCATGCTTTTACAGGTGGATCAGCTGAAGCGTTATGGCGCCGAAAACGCAATCTTATTATTAGAAAAGGGACGGTTGTACGATCAAACACGATGGCATGACTATTTGGTTCGCTTTGTGAAATATATGTAGTGGAAGTACCTTCGGGCCAAATTCCTGTTTGCATAATTTAAAGTGTTCCAGTTTTCCGATTTCTACGACCCGTACATCAATGAATACAGCGCCATTCCCACATACTTCCTTTACTATCATGTCTTTCAAGAGAGTGTTTTGGTCAGTGTTTTTCACTTACAATTTAGCACTAAGTTGCATGAATTTGAATGCACTAACCTTGCATCCATGAGTTTTCCTGCGTGAGAGGTTGGAGGCGTTTATTCGCCAATTGTGTTTGCATATGTTCTTTGGAATGGCTGGACTTCCGGAGTGAAAACTGCGCTGAAGAGACATGCCTTTTCTGTATAGACCTAAACTTATTTAAGCATAAGTATGTGAAAGTGTTCTGCACATATTCAGCCTGTGTAGCATATCCATTTGACGTAAATGGTAATCTCAGACGATATGGAGCCACCTACCACAAACAGGCAGCATATCGGCTTCAGAGGAGCCGGTCGAACTATCTCTAAATTCACAATGTTGACTTTTTCATTTACTGCCTTTTACAAGTTTTCACGGTATTTGTGAAACAATCACAATGATGCTGAGATATATGCAAGGAAAGGGAATATTACAGGCGAAATGAAGGGTTCGCATGGTGTGGTGCTGAACGCGTTAGTCGCCGGAAGGGGTAATAGCGTATTCGTTCCTCACCGCAGACATCTGTGGTCAAGAGTTTTGCAAATATCTCAGCATCATTGTGGTTGTCCCTAAATTATTTCTATTTGATTTTATTTCATTTGACCCATCTTCACGTCAACTGTGCGGATCCCAACACTTTTCACATTCAATTCCTTCCCTCGCATCCATCATCCTCGAAGATCTTCCAACTTTACGTGTGACTTCGGTTGCTGCTTGAGGATTTTCATTTCATCTTGAATGTCGTAGAATTTTGCTCGAACAATTCTTTCTGGAGTCCTGAAATAGCCGGGCTGGAGCGTTCCCAATTGGATTACAGAGAGTGATCTTCTCCCAGTCAAATCCGGCACCAATTTCCCGACCCTGGAGGGATGAGGGGCTTGGTTGGGTCGGGGCAGAATCGAACTAGTACCATGCTCGTGATGACGGACATCACTGCTATTGTGGTCTCCGCCCTCTTATCCGACATCACTGCTACTTTATCTGTCTATCCCTAAATAGCTGAGAGAAAAGCAAAACAAGGGCCTTGGTTGGTGTCGTGGATAACATGTGAACCCTCCACATGGCTGATCGCCAGTACGAAGCCCACCTGAGGTTGCAAGTTTTGCTCAAAAATTGAACGACTGTGTACGAAAGTATAATGTTCTCAGTGTTCCATGACCGTCCGAAATTTACCATTGGAAGTTCGAGTCACTGATTGAAGTCAGCGACGATTGATTACAATGGAGACGTGTGAATTAAAATGGGAGTGTTCTAGGTGTTTAATTCACAAACCAATATGTGTCAATTAACGTTTTGCATGCGAATCACATTATTTTTAAGTCCTATTGAAAAACGCCATTGAAAGTGTGGTCTAAATCGTGAGCTTTTATTGTTTACAGGGATTGATGAAGAACAGCGATCTGTCAAAGCTGCAGTTGAAATTTCACAGACCTGCTCCGGAACTAATAGATTTTTCTATGCTGGTAATATGGATTCTAGCAGTAGGAAGCGTAACAGGAGGAGGCATCTGGGCTTTCTTTCGACACAGGTGCGAACAATTTCTCCGTTTTTCATTTTTTTTTTCCACTTGGAGTACTTTAGGCTATTAGTGATACTTTCACCGTTAACATAGAAAATGCTCTTTTTCTGCTACTTGTAGACAACTGGATATCCGCTTAGAATTAACGCAGTGAGAATTCTGTTCAATGTATGAGTTCATTGAAACGAAATCGTTCTTTATAGAGCAGGTAAAGATAACATCCATGCGTCGCTTTCTGCTCCTGAATGTTCGCCACGCTCTTCAAGAGACAATTCAACATATGGAAATAAGCACAAGTGCTGTACCCGTTATGCGAACTTTCTGGTCATTGTATTTCTAATGATTCTTCTCGTCGCTATACTTATGATTGGGTTCTTCTTCCGAACTCTTCTAGGTATTAAATGCTATCTTATTATCAACTTTTGTTCTTATTTTTGCACATATTTTGATGAGAAAAAGAGTGATTAAGTGATTAGAGCGAATCTCTTTCCAGTCACTTTCTTCAATATAATGCTAGTCGCGTTTGGTACAATGAGTGTATACGGATGTACTATGGCTTTACTATCATGTTTTTCGCTGTGCGAGTTTTGCTATATTCGGATTTGTCTTAATACTTTCAATCATCGTAAGTTGTGAATGCTTTTAGCATACCTTACCTACTTATTTGGATACGTCGATGGTCGGTCCTCAATGATTGTGCGGGCCCCAGCAAAATTCCAGGATTTTGACCTAGCACCTAGTTAAAATTAAAAAACAGATCCTTAAGCTTAAATTATTAGTAATACTTGTTTGTTAGCATGCGTTTTAGCAATCATAGTTCAAAAGGTGTTCCAGGTTGGTTGCCAAAGCGAGGGCCGAGTTTCTTACAGATGATAGTATTCCTGTTGTCGTTAACACTGTGCGTTCTGTGGTTCATATATCGGCGCACACCATATGCATTCATTCTTCTTGATTTTATAAATGTTACCCTTTGCCTTCATATCCTAAAATCATTAAGGCTGCCAAGTCTGAAGGTATTCCATCATATGCTTTTCCCTAATTTCCATTTCTTCTATGATTGGTAAGCAACATTACTTTTAGTGGATAACCACGCTCATGTTATGCATGTTTGTCTACGATGCAGTGATGGTATTCGCAACACCATACATGACTCGCAATGGTTGTTCTATTATGCTAGAAGTGGCAACGGGCATTGATTGCTCTACAAGCGGCAGTGATGGTTACGCAATACCACCTATTGACGCGGCTCTGCCGGAAAAGGTAACGGTTTCGACTATGAAACTTCAGCAGAAAAGAAGAGTATAGTTAAAGTTT